AAGAGCTGTTAGACAGAAGGGAAACAAGGCAGAAATTGGCCAATTAGCTAACCTGCTAAACTGAAATGTAGTCTCCTTTGCTGTCTTGGGGACCTAGTCATTCAACTGATTAGGAAAACTGAAGTTTTCTTACCTTGTAACTACATAGGAGGATTGTGATAGCAACAACGTCAATAAAGTAGAATACAAAATTTCTCAGTTCAGAAAGTCATGCTGTATTGTGAGCTCAGCATAGAGCTCTTCAGATGCAGGTTCAGCCACAACCATAAATTCTCTTGTCATAGTAAAATATAAATTACGTCCCTTCCTCTTTTCTCATGAAATCAAGCTAGAAGTGATATCCAAACAAGGGTTATGGCTTTACAAATAACTGCTACACTGGTCAACTAATTTCAATCAAGGACATTTTTTTTCATTTTTGTATCCCTCCCTCTCAGATATGCTGAGTCACTCTTGTGAATACTTTAAAAGTATTTTCATACCAGTCCTTTTCATATGAAACCTTATAGACCTCTTTCAACAAAGTTGCTAATAGAGACTGATCAAGACACCATGACCTCATTTTTAATTAGGCTCATTTTTAGGCCTCGACTTACGACCACAATTGAGCCCAGAATATCTGTTGCTAAGTGAGACATTTGTTAAGTGAGTTTTGCCCCATTCTACGACTTTTCTTGCCACAGTAGTTAAGTGAATCGCTGCAGTTGATAAGTTAGTAACCTGGTTATTAAAGTGAATCTGTCTTCCCCATTGACTTTGCTTGTCAGAAGGTCACAAAATGTGATCACATGACTTTGGGACACAGCAATGGTCATGTGAGAAAACCACAAAACACATTTAGAGACGGTGAACAATATGAAAGAGCTTTATTATTAAGCTTTTGCAAAAGGGAATTCTGCTCATAGCAGAAGAATCTTTCCCAGGAAGGCTGGGGAATATATATACAGGTTCAAATATACAGTCTCTGCCCCTTTCCTGGGTTCAAAATCTATCCAACTATGTAATTCCCTATGCCACATCCATAGCGTACCACCTGTTTCCCTTTCTTTGGAAACCACCCTTGTTCTCATGGCATCTTCCTGTTATGTTCTTCTGAACACAATGGATCACTAACCAGTTCCGATCAGGTCAGAATGACCCTCGCATATCTACATTAATTCTCAAGCCAAAATACAAACCCCCATGTTCCAGCCAAAAACCTGACATTTACTTTAGAACATAACATGTTACAAAACAGTACATATTTGTTAGATACAATAATATAACCAGTCATCATTGTAAAAAGGTCACATTTGCTCTATACTTCTCAGGTAGAACTTGAAATACATATATGTTATTTCCACATATGACAGGTTATAAGCATGAACCAGTTGCCAAGCATCTAAATTTTGATCACATAGCCATGGGGATGCTACAAAGATCGTAAGTGTGAAAAATTGTCATAAGTCACTTTCTCCAGTGCTGTTGTAACTTTGAATAGTTACTAAATGAACTGTTGTAAGTCGAGGACTACCTATATTTTACTATTTGCTTAAAAAGTTACAGAGAAATCATATACACACAAAAATAAAGAGAGATAGCATCTGCTTGTCTCTGAATAACTGAACAGTATATAAATTGGATTACATATTTTGTTTTTAAAAAAATCTTCTTTCCTAAGAAATTCAAGTTAGGAATATATTGGAAGATAGGTGTCTGGGGTCTTTTGGTATTATTTTATTATTTTGCAGGATATTTTAAATGAAGCATGTGGTGGATATTTATGATCCTAGTATCAGGAGAGGCGCATAAGATATTAAATTGGAATAATGCCAGAGTGCAAGAGAAGGTCTGAAAATGCAATATACTGAGTATTGACTCAGAAATAAGAGAAATTTCTTTTCCATGCAGTGTTGTGAAAGGACCATTTACTCTTGCTCAAATTCCCTTTTTCAATCTACATAATGAGGATATCAGCAAAATTCAGTATTATATATTAGAATATGTGCTGCACGAGGCCTCATCTGAGGCTCATAGGACTGTAGCCTTAATAAACCTAGCTGCTTTGGGTGTGCTTTGGCTTTTTAACTTATGGAAGAAAAACAAAATATGAGTGCCCTAAATACTTTATACTGAATGAATGAGCCTGAGTTTGGAGTTGGTAAGTTTTGTCCTGCAAAACATGCTTTTCAAGAAGTATACTTGCAGTAGTATGAAGCCTTTCATTTCAGTTTATAAAATCTCTTTGGCAGCAATGTGCAATACTGTAAGAATAAAAAAAACATATATTTTCCTATCATTGTTTTTTTTTTCAGAGATGTTTGAGCAATCTGACCAGGCAAGAATCAAGTTTGGCCTCTATACAACCTCTGCTATTTACATAAAGTATTTATTTATATATCACATTAAGAAACATCCCCGGTTTTTTTTTCACCTTTTATGTTATTCCTTTGTAATTAATCTCTATATACAAGAGATCTGTAACATGGCATTCATGGGTTCCACTACAGCTGTAGATATTGCCCCCTTTTGCCTGAATCATCCTAACTCATTCATTGTTATAATTTTCTTTTGATTTAAAGGAGATAAATGAAAAATAAATCTCCTGCAGAGCAATGCATCAGTACCAAATATTACCAAGCTCCATGCCAAACATTTCACTAGATGTAGCTATAAACATATTTTAAATATGACAGTTGAACATAAATAAATGAATAAATAAATAGGAGGCACTTTGAGAGAATAGGTCTGCTCAGTCATGGAGACCTATTAGTCACTCCCAATTTGGATTATTGTAATAAGCTGTACCTGGAGCTGTCTTTGAAAAGGATTCGGAAACCTCAGCAAAATGCAGCAGTGTGACCAGTTACAGGTGCAGGTCATTCAGCACATGTGACAACACTGCTCTGGAAGCTGCAATGGGTTTAGTATGCTTCCAGGTGCAATTCAGGGTGCTCGTAATTACCTTTAAAACCTTTCACGGCTTCAGTCCCAAGTTACTTAGGGCAGAGGTCTCCAACCTTGGCAACTTTAAGACTTGTGGACTTCAACTCCCAGAATTCCTCAGCCAGCAAAGCTCTATGGAACAGCATCCTTCCTGAGATTAATTTTATATTGCCCCTGCTGGCCTTTCACCAGGAATTTGAAAACCTGGCTTTGCTTTCCATCCTGAGGCCCTGGCAGTATTGGGGAGCCTGCCTTATGGCTGATTTGGATGTAAGATATGAATATGCTTGGCAGGTATTCTATGTCATTGATATTGTCCTGTCCCTCCTCCCCAAATAGTTGTTTTATCCTGATTTTATTTTGTTTGCAGTTGTTATCCTTCTAGAGCCATATAAATTTACTAAATAAATAAATATTTATTACTCTTTGAACAGAAGCATCTAAAGGCTGGGGACATCTATGTAATAATATACGAACGGCCCCTGCCTTTGGGCACCAGGAACTGATTCCATGGAAGGCAGTTTTTCTGAAGACCTCTGTTTGTGTGTGTGTGTGTGTGTATGTATGTGTGGTTTTGCATGCTGTCTGGATCCCATGTGTTTATGGGGCTTTGCTAACTTGCATAGCCTGGTTCCTGGCAGGCCGCAGACTGGGGACTGGGGATATCATGTACATATAAACAAAACAATTTACATCCCTATCCCTGTTTCTAGAATATTTTTGTCATTCAGCTGTGAGGGGCCAGGGTTTTCTGGAAAGTGGAAGCTGCCTCAGTTATCCTGACATATGGGGTGTGAAATAGTTACTTATTTTCCGATGTTTATAATAATACTCATTATATCTATCCAAACCTAAAATGGAGACTGCCTTTATGTGTTTCTTCACTTGAACAGTTCTTGGTTTTTCATTTAAAATCTCGGTGTTGTTTACAATGTTAACTCAAAACAATACAAATTAAAGTCCCTGCATGAAACCCAGAAGCAAGCCAATAAAAGCAGCAGAAATTAAATTAGACAAAATGAGTAACCAGACAGGTTTCTGCAAAAAAAACAACAGCCAGGGTATGTGTAGAGTGCTTTCTGTTGACTGTTAAGTCCTTACCATAGCCAGTCCCTACTTTGTAAGGCAAGGGGTTTCCAAATCAGAAAGCATATTTACTTAGTAGGCTTGAGGGTTCCCTTTCAAAAACAAAATAAACAGTAAAAAATTGAATGCAGCATATTGAGTGGAATTTACCAAATATTTCAGCTGTAGTCTTAAGTACCTTGACCATAGCTTGGTTGAAATGAAAATAAAATTGAAGTATCAGTTTTGCATTGTGCCTTCTAAACTGGGAAAGTAAGATGTATCATTGTATTATTTATAGTGCTGGAAAAATATATGTTAATGCAGAAGTCACTCCAGTGCACAGCTTATTAATCATGGGTATGTGTGTGTGTGGGGGGGGGGGGAGATGGCATGCGTGTTGCCTTTTATGAAAACTTCTACCAGAGGCAGAGGAAAATTACACTTCAGCATTCAAGAGAATTGAGAGACAAAATTATTCCACATAAGTGCACAATTTAATACTGATGCCATGATTTATACATTAATATTAGCCATTTGATAAGTTGGGCTGATTTTAGCAAGTCAAGAAATCATAATGAGGGCAATGAAAAAGAGGCCATTTTTCCCTTGAAAAAACTAATTCCAGTTGTGGAGGATCAAGCCATCATTTTTAAATGATGGAAAAAACCCACTATTCCTTGGTGATGACCAAAAATTATTTTCAGGCACAGATACTTAAGCTTCAAATACTTGTAATATTTACCCCCTGATTTAAAGCTAACCAAAAGCAATTAAAAATCTTTCTTCCTCTCTCCAAATTTACTATGGTATTTATCTACTAAAGATCTCTTAAAGTTACTCTTTCATTCTCAGCATTGATAAGGGGCAGGTTCTCCAAGAAAAAAATAGGAAGGGGAAGGAATTTATCTTGCAATAGCTTACAGCAGTAGTTCCCAAAGTGGGCGGTACTGCACCCTGGGGGGCAGTGGGATGCCTTAGGGGGGCGCTAAGAGGCAGCATGGGGGCGTTCAAGGCATCGGCACCACAGGCTCACCCGATTGACTGTTGCACCGCTCCAGAGCCGGCACCTTGCGGTGGCAGCAGCTTTGCTCTACTTTCCCAACATGCTGCTGCATTCGAGGCGTCGGCTCTGGAGCAGTGCAACAGTCAATGGAGTGATCCTACGATACTGACACCTCAAACATCCCCCTGCTGCCTCTTAACACCCCTCTGCTGGCCCCCTTGGGGGCGCTAAGAGGCGGCAGGGGGGCATTCGAGGCGCTGGCCCCTCAGGTTCACCCCATTGACTGTTGCAGCAGAGTGGTGCAAGGGGCTCAATGGGGTGAGCAGCCCTTCCAAGCCGGCCAGCTTGCACAGGCAGCTGGCCACCTCGTAGCGCAGGACTTGGGCCATGTGATGACCGAAGATCTGCCAGTGGCTGGCCAGGCACTTGGCTTTCAGCTGGTCCTCATCCAGGAAGTAGCAGAGGTTGCGCAGCTTGCGGTTCTCTGCCTGCAGCCTCCCGTAGATGGCTTTCAGCTCACGGATCTTGCACAGGTGCTCCTGCAGCTGCTGGTTCACGCCCTGGATCAGCCGGCCACATTGCACCAGTGCCGCCAGCTTCTCGGCCTCCTCCCGGTGCAAGCAGTGCACCATCTCCTCCTTGCTGCAGCCGTCCAGGTCCACCTTGTTAAGCCTGGATTCCCCAACGGGTGTTAAGGAAAACAAACTAAACAGAACGTGCAGCGAAGTCAGATAGGAAGACAGGTAAATGTGTGAGATAAGTTTTCTAGTTAACACGCAGTAAAAATACAGATACGCTTGTGCTATCAAAAATATAGTTTATTCCATTTAAGAATTATAGCATAGTCAAATAAACGGTCCATTAGTCATATATCAATTTCAGTCAATTCTTGTCGGGGATACTCTATTTGCAAAGTCCGTGTTGAATAGCCAATGTCAGTTCACTTACAATAAATCAGTCCAATCTTTATATTCTCTCCGTTGAGAAAAATCAACACTCCTTCTTCTCTCCCCCTTCCATCAAGAATGCAGTCATCAATCCATCCAGTAATTAGTGATCAGTAAGTCAGAGAGAGCGAACTGCAATTGCCTCGCTTCTTATATAGTGCTTTTACAACCACACCCTTAATTACATTCCTGCAGTTAAAGTTACACACACTTTAACTAACAAACCATGATACCTTATTTATTATTTTTACCCAAACCAGTTAGGGTAAACAATGTTATCCCTAACACGCCTCACTGGCCGGGGCATTGGATAGTGGAGGCGGTGGCAGAGGAGCCAGTGGCCTGGAGGGGTGGCTGACCAGGGGCGGCAGAGGCACTGGGAACATCGCTTGCTCAGCTTTGGCCAGTGCAAAACGGTGGTGGGGGAAGTAACTGGTTAGTCCACCGTGCAGTGGCATCTTTGTAACGCTGGACGCCAGGAGAAGCAAGCTGTGCTTTTGCAGTGGGACCTCCCTCTTTCTCCGCCATTGGCGCTGGGATTACTGGGTCAGATGCACAGCAGGGCTGGGTGCACTGTGCCTCTGCCAGCCAGGAGCAGGTGCAACGAACAGAGAAGGGAGCCTGTGCGATGGAGGGCGGGAGTGAAGGGGGGAGGCGGGATGCCTTGTCGGTGCAAAGTGTGTGTGTGTGTGTGTGAGAGAGAGAGAGAGCGGGAGCACGTGGGCCCATGCATGGGAACGGACCGATGGTGAGGGAAAGCAGCACTGTTTTTTTCCCCCAAGTCGGGAAAATTGGGGAGAGAGTAGGTGTGTGTGTGGGGGGAAACAGAACAGGCTTGCATCCTTTCCCTGGTCGCAATCCGGATTAAGGAGTCTTCCTGCACCCACCCACCCAATCACTCACTCCGGGGTCTGGGACACACACACTGCAGCCTTCTGTAGCTTGGTAAGGGGCGCACATGCATGGAGACACAATTGGGATTAAGGGGCATGGGTGTGGGGGAAATGGCTTGCACCCTTTCCCCGCTGCTCCGCTTCGGCAGGTCCCTCCAGTGCAGTGGGCTCAATGGGGTGAACCTGCAGGCCTGGCACCTAGAACGGGACAGTGGCAGAACGTTTGAAAAGCAGAGCAAAGCCAGAGGTCGGTAATTTTTGCTGCAAAGAATCACAAAAGCTTGTGGGCTGTGCACAAGAAGGGACACACATGTCAATGCAATTCAGCAACATAAAATAAAGAAATAGAAATAAAACAAATCAACAAGAATCTGCAAAGCATCTGATTAGATTCTATTCACTACTAGAATCTAATCAGAGATGCTTTGCTGATTCTAGTCCAATGACCTGCTCCAGCACGGTTAGAAGGGAGTGTGTGTGTATGTGTGCGCATGGCTATCAAAACTCCAAAAACAGGTCAAGTATCTCTGGGGAGGCCAGTCATAAACAACCGGCCATTAAGTGAGGACCACTTGTATTTGGTGTGCCAGTCACCTGGCCATGTCCACCCAGTCACATGACCACCAAAGCACACTTACCCTGTCATGTGACCACCAAGCCATGCCCAGCCAGTCACGTGACCCCCCAAGCCACGCCCACCCAGTCACATGACCAGCAAGCCACACTTATCCAGTCACATGACCAAGCCACACCTTCAAATTAGGCCATGCCCACAGAAATTTGAACCCCACTCCTGAGTTTGTAGCACCAAGGGGGTGGTGGACTGAAAAAATTTGGGAACAACTGGCCTACAGCCTTCAGTGTTAGAGGATGACCAGCAGTAGTGATGGTGAACTTTTGGAAGAGCTAAAGCAGGGGTCCCCAAACTTGGCAACTTTAAGACTTGTGGACTTCAACTCCCAGAATTCCTCAGCTATGCTAGCTGAGGAATTCTGGGAGTTGAAGTCCACAAGTCTTAAAGTTGCCAAGTTTGCAGAGCTCTGAGCTAAAGGATCAGGTTAAAGACAGGTTTGGCAGGGAGAAAATCTTATCTATTTGATCGCTTAAGAGTTGATTGCACATTGTCAATGAAAGCCGATGGATTGGAAAAATTGTGTTTTCCTAAGGGCTATTGTGGATGTCATTTACCACATTTTCCAATATAACTGCAATTTACTAGTTCCCTTCTTTCTGACTCTCCTTGGCTGCTATAATTGCCAGAGAAATCCAAATGAGACTTGGGCAAGGGCGTAAGAGTTGTATAAAAAGGAAAAAAGGCCAAAGCTGTCAAAGCTCTTCCCAGGCAGGTAGGGCAGCTGTTTGCCTTTAGACAAAGCATTTCAGCTGGAGAATTTCACTCCCATTGCCATTTAGCAACAGTGAGCAAGCATACTCAGTGCGTCTTCTGCTTTTATAGCATTTATCGTTTGCTGCAATAATAGTCTTCCTTATGCCTCTCCTATGTTCAGTATGAATCACCTTATTTCTCCCGGTCGGTGATTTATAACATTTTACAGTTCCAGCAGCCAGAGGAGATGAAATTAAAAGGCCTAAGCACGTTCTATGGTATTTCCACAGCGGCTTTTGTTTGACCCGTCTAATATTTTACAACAAAATTAAGGAAAGTACAACAACGGCAAATTCCTCTTCAAGGGGAATATTTCATTCATCTCAAACAGCCAGCCGGTTACCGCCATCAGATGGGAGGTTTTTCTTTCTTTCTTTTTTTTTTCTCAATGGCCGGCTCTTCTCCAGCTCAAGCCTTCCCTATCGATCCCCTGCTCATTTGCATAATGATTTCTTCCGAGGCGGCCATTGGCTGCCGCGAGCCGCGCTCGTGCGTGATGTCAGCACTCACAGAGTATTGCTCGGGTTGTGGCGGGCAGTTGGAGCCTGTCAAAAAATCTTCGCGCAGCGGCGGTCGCGGCCGAAGAGGGAGAAGAAGCGGGGCTGAATCGCCCAGCAAAACCCGCCTGTCGAGCGGCAAGAGGAAGGGGGGAAAAAAAAAGAGAGAGAGAGAGAGAGAGAGAGAGCGTAGCTGGCCGAGACTCCTCGCTTGAGGGTCACCTAAAAAGAGCCTCTCCGTCACCTGCTCCAAGCGAAGGAGAAAGCCCAGCGCAGAAGGAGAAGCAACGCGGCTAAAGAAGTCACCCCGCTAGCCGGAGTGGGTTCCCACTAAAACAAGGGCGACAGGGGCCGCCTCAGACCACTCTCTCTTGAGGGGGCTACCTTCGTTTCAGTCCAGCTAGTAGAAGCCCCGAGAGCGCCCGCCTCGGCTTAGGACAGAGACGGAGCCGCGCGAGCAAACGTGAAAGTCGGGGTCGTCCGCGGCTTTCCTGAGCCGGCCTCGCCTGGAGACCAGAGGAACGCCGGACGTTAAGGGACGATCCGATAAACGCTCCCGCCTCCACTTCTCTACAAACTCGCATTTCTCAGCAGGGGCTGGAAGATCCCGGAGGAAAAGCTTTTAGCCTGCCCTTCGTGGCCAAAGGTTCTTTCCGACGTGGAAAAAGGCCCAACGGGGTTGTTGGCTGCCCCTCTCCCCGAGCATCCGGTCAGCCGGCGTGCAGGAGGAGTTCTTCGGTCCGCTGAAAGAGGCTGGCGCGAGATTGAAGCGAAGAGACACCCCCACCTCTCTTCCCTTCCAAGTCCGCTCCTTCCAAGGCAGAGCGCGCCTCGAGGACAGGACGAGACCTTTAGACGCGCGGCTTGCGAAGGGGGTCCCCGGCCGCGAACCTGGCTTAAAGGGAGGACTGGACTGGGGGGGGGGGTCGCTGGAACAGGCTGGGGCGGGCGGAAGATCAATTT